TTTTTGGCTTGCAAAATTAGTCTCTAACTTTAAGTATTCCATGCTGTGCGCCTGGAGCATTTTATTTCTCTCTCTAGAGTTTCAAGACGGTCGATTAATTTAAAAAGTTTCTAACCTAGAACTAAACAACACATTTTGAATTGCCTTTTTGTGCCAAACATTTAAAATCAAGCTTGAGTCATTAAGGCCAGTACGGTGAGCTGTCGGTCAAAGGCTGCTATTAGCTATTAAGCTGATCTGTTAGCTTCCGTTCCGTTTCTGTTTAGCTAGTTTTTTGCTCAACATTCACCCTCCCACCAAACCCTATATCTCCAAAAACGGAGAGATTTAGTCATAGTAGTCAAAATTTTAAAATTATTTTGCCCCATAATGCTGGAATATTTTTATCAGTATATTTGTGGTTCACTTTCTTTTTTACGTTTATTTGTTTTCACTTCAGGCGGGCTGATTTCATCAATCGAGGGTTCTCCGGTTATACTACAAAGCTGTGTTTGCCCCTTCTGAAGCAGTTGTTCGTAAAACCAGAGGATTTAAAGAACTGTGCACTGTTCACTATTTGGCTAGGCGCAAATGACGCCAGCTTGGCCGAGCAAAAGGTCGGGCTTCCCGAGTATAGAAGTAATTTGTCGAAAATGATCACTTATCTGTCCTCGGTAAGCAGATCATGTCACAACGAGTTTCTGGGTCATAACTTCTCACTTGTTGGTGTAGTCACTTATTTATCAATTATTATCACAGTTCCTTCAGCTTTTTTATTGTAGCATTTATTTTGCGTTGAAAAGCTTCTCAAGGGTCATGTTAATAGTCTTCAAAAAAATTAACTTCCGGTGCACTGGATATCTATTGTTTCTCGGTAATATATTTATTGCGCTCCCATAGTCTAATCTATCTTCTCCCTTGTGAATGTTTGCCTGACGCTTATTGCTGACTAAATATAACTTTCGTCTTATGCCTTCTATCATGAGAGCGTGTTTTACTAGGTATTTGTATCAAAGCGCTTACTCGGATGAATATGGGGCTTTGACCTTCAAATCCGTCTTATTTCTTCCATTTTGTTTTTCTAAATTCTGTCGTTTTTAAATTCTCGAGGATCTCGGATTGCCTGTCGAAAGAATTGTTCTCATCAATCCACCTCCCGTTGATGAAACTAAAGAGGATCCGGGTAAGATTATATTTACTTGGAAATGTTAGTACACGTGTCACATACAACGATCTATCACTATTTTTTTCAAAAATGTGGAATTTACCTACAGGACTCAAGAGCAAACTGTGAGGAAACTAATGAAGAGCTTGAAATTAACTTACTTAAATAGTACCTCTTGATCTTTACTTCTGTATTTCTGAAGAATTCAGTTTTATGATCCTCACCATCTCTGATTTGTCTTATATACTTCGAATAACGTTGGTCGTTGAAAGACCTAATAGTTGTAATTTCCTTTACGTATTACCCAGTTTAACAGTAGGCAAGAATCTGTAGAGGATTATTTGGTTATTGATAGAGGTTTTCAAATAGAGTATAGTTACTTGCACATTATGACTATATTAAAAATATATTCAATTTTTAAATGACACATTTTACAAAAGATCCAATAATTCGTGACCTTGGCCGATGTTTCTTTAGATGTTCCGTGCTTCGGGGGTGCTCTGCGAATAATTGTATGTCGGACTCCCATAGCCCTAATCTATCCAGTACCCCAAATTTGCTTTCAGGTGGCAATTTGACTATCCATCTGCAGAAGTCAAATTGTGCAAACATATTGCGCTTTTTAAGTACAATGTGATGCCATAAAATGCAAACTATCCTTAAGAACGTAACGAGGTGCGCTTCTGTTAGCCCTTTAGTAGATATAGTTTCTTTAAGTATTTGAAAAAGAAGTATTATATATCCATTTTTTTAAAAATTAGCTTGCGATTCATCAGGTCTCAAAAAAAACACGATTATGCAAGGGAAGAAGATGACAGTTATTTGCTTTCCGCAGGCCACTATCTATCTGTAGTAAATATTTGCCATTTTCGAAGATGGCAATCTTGTTAGGGCTATCCACGGAGAGTCTGATATTGAGCCATTGCCAGTCACGGTGGGTGCTTGGGAACGTAATCAAACCTGCACACAGTCTGATTTCTTTAGATGTTCGCATCCTAAAACTCAACCGTCTTTCATCCATTTTATTACATTCTTCCTTTTTTTCGATCAGACAAACCGAAGATCCGTACACTGGAAAATACTCGCCTCTACGCCGAAGCTTGCATTGAGGTAGCAAAGGCCAATGGCGTTGAATGCGTTGACATGTTCAACGCTCTCTTGAGCCAAAAGGTGCGTTGTATCGGTTGTCTTGATTTGTATACTCTAAATGATACTTGTGCTACGGCTGCGATAATGACTGACCTAGCTGGCCCCGATTATTTCCCGGATGGCACTTCTTTGGTGGTAAATCACCTAGTGCCATCGTTTGCCAAAGGGATTCAGGATGAACGGAATCGAACGCAGCGGCAAAGTCAACGAACAGACAGTAGTTGG